AGGCGGCTTTTGGAAACCCCAAGAGACCATCTGTTTTCATCCCTTCCGACAGTGTACGGCACCACATGAGTGCTCATCACGCCTGCTGGGCTGAACTTGACGTAAAGGCAAACAATGAAGACCTCGAAGAAATAATACCAATATGATTATCATCACTATCCCTAGAGCCACTGGGAAGGTGGCCTTACACAAGCTTTTTTTTTTGGTTCTCTGAGCTTAGAAGGTCAGGGGAGTCCTGTTTTTCGGCTGATCAATGGAAGCCCTGCACATCTATTTGCCAAACCACCCTGGAGCACAAACATCCTGAGCCAGTGTGGCTAGACAGACCCCTGGCTCCAGTCCATCTCGACTGCCCTCAGAGTCACTTTCTCCTCCCTGAGCTAATGGTGCCATCTCGCACATGTAAGACAAACATTTCCTGTCCTGTCCCAGGACACTGGGAAGGAGCAGACGGAGATCCTGCCTCTCCAAGACACTCAGCTCTCGCCCAGGGTGTCACAGGAAGGGACACACTGACTGGGAAGGTGGGAAGCAATGGGTCTGTTTGCCAGCTGCTAAATACAGAACAGATCTTCTGTGTAGGGTTAGAAGGGACAAGGACCTTTCAAAGCCAAGGACCCATGCCAGTCACAGGGGGAAGAGGTGCCATACAGGATGGGAGACAGAGTACACAACAGCATCCTGGACCGTCCAGGGTCTCCTAGGAAGGGTCACAGGGCTCCAAGTGTCTGTGTCTCACTTGACAAGGAAGATATGGAAAGTGGTCTGATGTGGGGTACTGGCCTCAGGCAGAGTGGTGACATTATACCTGCCAGAGAGCAGGTATATCCCTGGGGGGCTGCCAAGGTGGGCCGCTTGCTGGGTTTGGCCTATGAGAGAACAATGATCCCACGGCCCCTCCACCCACACTCCTGACGGTGATGCTGCAAACCGAGTTAGGTTCCTGTGAATCCTGCACAAAGAAAACCTTCTCCAGCCCTCTCTTCTAGACAAGATCGATATCCTCTGTGTCTCCCACATCCTTCTGTCCCGTCTGGGTGAAAAAGTGGAGGGGTTCTAACTCATTCTACACGACGGCTCCTCTCTGTATAGTCCTGCCGCCGCGCATTAGAACCAGCCCACATCTACTAATTTGCATGCTCGCACGCACTTGAGTACACACGCCCAGCATGTGACTCCAGGCACCTACATCAGCTCCACTCCTTCTAGGAACCCACTCAGCTGTGTTTCCTATCAGCTTTTCTTCCCCGAGAAGGGTCCGAGGCCAGAATGAAGGCCCTCCTTCACCAGTGTCCGCTCTCCTGGACACGCGCTCAGTTATGGGTGTGCACGAGGAAACGTCCTGAAGGATTGGGGAGCGTCACAAACCCATGCCACAGGAAATTGCATCCTCTTTGGTGGTAGCGGGGACTTCCGCTGACTAAAAATGTGTCCCTTCCTTTGAACTTCCTCCCAGAGGTTGAAAAGAAGCCGGTGAAATTATGAACTCAAGGAACAGTGACAAAGAGAGCCTGTGGCCGACAGAGCTGATGAGATTGGTTCTGGGATGGGCCACTTACTTGCAGGATGGAGCCCGGAGGTCCTTGACGTATTTACACTCCCCATGGATGCAGAAGTCCTTGTATTTCCTGAGACACGGGTCTCTCTTCTTCCCTAATCCCTTGCCTTTCTTCTTTTTTTTCCCGTTCTTTTCTTTGCTTGGCGTGACTAGGCCTTGAGGCTTGGAGGAGAAAGCAACTGCAGGAAGAAAGGGTACCCAGTTAAGCCTCTCAACTGTGTCCTTTGGGAAAAGTATCTTCAGATCTAAGCCAGGCTGACCTCAAACCCCCCCATCCCTCCCATCCCAGTGTCTGAAACACGGAAATTACAGACGGGTACCCCCCACTCCCCAAGCAATGAGGGTGTACACGCTATTTGATCCCACCTAGAGTCAGAGACCTGGGAAAACTCTTTAAGAACTACCAGAAAGAGGAAGCTTTGGGAGGAAACAGAAGTTGGGTTGGGTTCCAAGGAAGAAGAACCTCGTTCTAAGAAAGCCAGAGAAACTGCGGTTCACTGAGCAAAGCTATCAGCCTTGCGCGCGCGGCCAGCCCACCTTCTACCCCATCTGCGACTCCCCCACATCTACTTGGTTCTATTTTAGCCTCAGTCAGCCTCATTTCCTGACACCATGCTCCGTGACCCACTTGCAGGAAGATAGTGTCACAGGCAAAGATGGCTTTGGGGTAAGGAACTTGGTTGTTTGGGGGTATAAAGCTTCTGAAATAGGAGCATCTAAAGCTTTATAGCCCTTCACAGGAGCTCCCATTCACATCAGGGAATGTTTGGTGCAGACCTAGCTCTGAAACAGCAAACGGGCCATCCCTGATTAAAAAGACCTTTTTCAAATGTCTATTTAGATTTATTCCCAAATGTCCTATTTATACCTGGGACAGGGAGGGAGGTTACAATATGTACAAGAAAACATGCAGAAGGAACTGGACTATGATATCCCCCTCTTCTTTCCATACTGTAGGGACTGGGGGAGAACCACCTCACATCCACCTGGAACCGGCCATTAGCCCAGGACTCTGGTGCCAGCCTGTCCCATCCCTGAACCCCACAGTTACAAGGTGCTCGCTGTTCACAACTACAGCTTGTGTCTGGCAGAAAGGGGAAAGGGGAACATGATTAAGTTAAGACTAGGGACACAGAAGCCTCAAGACAAATGAGACCTCAACAATGCCAGGGCACTTTCAAGATGAAACCATAGCATCCCCAGAAGGCAGGGACTTGTCCCGGGGCAGTGCAGGATTGCGGTCAGAACTGGGGTCTCTAGTCCTGTTCCAGGCTTCTTTAGAGTTCAGAGAGTGATGTAAATGGCCAGAGAAAGCCAGTTATTGGGTCTCCAGGGAAAGCAGAGCAGGAGGCCCCAAAACAAGCAGAGAGAATAAGAAGATCGACAAGTTAGGCTCCTGCCGAGGAGAGGGAGCAGTGAGTCAGGTTGGCAGAGGTATGAGGAGCAGCCATGTGGGTGGGGGGTGAGTCACTGCCCAGCCCAGCCCTACCCAGCCTAAGAGAGAGCCAGGAGAATCCAGACTGTTGAGGACATGGGTGACCCAAGGGTCCACTGTAGAGCTGACGAAATGTGGAGCCCCGGCCTCAGTTTTGGAGCAGACTCTTGACTTGGGCAAAGCAGGGCAAGCAAGCACCTCAGGAAGCCTTGGGCGAGGAGGGAGCAAGGAGGCGGAGCAGCAGGTGGGCTGAACAGGTGTGTCTCCTTCTGACCAAATATAGTCATTCCGGGGCCACAGGGCTCAGGGCTGGCTCCACCTCTGAGAATCACTGTAAGTGGCCGCTGGGTTCTGGACTCTGCCCAGTCCCTGTGTTCAGTCACAGATCCAGGCTACAGAATCACACATAACTCTTTCCTCTGGGAGTCTCCTTAGAGATTCCAGTGGGCAGGAAGTCTACAAGTTTCAGATCTACAGCATTTCAAGACAGCCTCCTAGAGGCCGAGCACTCACCCTTCATTGCCAGCTGCAGGGCTACTAGCCTCGCTCACCTAAGCCAAGAGTTCCTCGCTGCCCTGTCTTTCCTAACCTGGAGAAAGGTGGAAGGAGACTAACACTGCACACTTTCCAGGCTCTCATCTAGTATCTCTTTTTATATAGAATCACCACATATATAACCATACATTAGACAGGACTTGCACACCCTCCCCCCTTTTTTGCATAGACACTCTAGGGAAAGCACCGGGGAGTGGTGAGTGCCCACGTCTTTAATCTCAGCGCACCGAAGACAGAGGCAGGCAGATCTCTTTGAGTTTGTGGCCAGCCTGATCCACCAAGCGAGTTCCAGGACAGCCAAGCTACACAGAGAAGCCCTGTCCTGAAACACCCCGCCCCTAAAAATAAGAAACTCTAGAAAAAGCATCTCAGCCATGCCTTTCTTCTAGCATCTAGCTTACCTCCGACGACAACCTGCCTCTTTCAGTTTGCTCCAAAGTATACAGCAGTAAGAGCCCACATCAGATGAGACCAAAGATAGCACTATATTGCAGAAACCCCAACTCCAATCAGTCCAGGAGCTTTTCCTGGAACATCCCCTCAAGGGGTGGGGTGGGGGGCAACTGAATAAATCTCAGGCCTGTACATTCTTCAGCTGCAAACAGCATCTAAGGTTTGCAGCTGAAGAATACCTCCATACCCACCTTTGAAAAGATCCGGATCTGTCTGTACCAAGTCCTGGACTTCCTGAGCACGACCGTCTCCCGTGGGTAGCAGCTGGTCTGTGGATCCAGTGGGAGAGTCGGGGTTGCTGGTTGCCGCCGCCAGACCTCTCCGAAGCCGCTCCAGACTCTCACCGGTCACCAATGCGGACAACACTGGGCAAGGGAAGAGAGGAGGCCACCTCAGTCCCACCGCCTAGACCCCGCACCACCAAGCAATCGAGGTCCACGCCCGCTCTCTAGGGCGCACGGGCCCCACCAAGTGGTCCGCTAGGGGAGGAGGTGGGAGGCAATGCATCGACCTTCCCACGTGTCCCCCGCACGGTGCCCCCACCCTACTCCCTACCTCGGAGACATCAGCTGCCCTCTTACCTGCGGCCAGAAAGAGCTTCAGCATCACCGACGGCAGCAGCTTCATGGTCCGGAGCCTGGAGGAGACGGCGAGGCAGCGATCACTTTGGATGCAGCGGCAGCTGGACGCCTGCACCGGGGCCAGGCAGCGGAGGGCAGCGAGATTCCACCGGGCAAGGAAGGTCTGCCCGCTTCTGGGTGCGATCCTGCCGAGGAGCCCTGCGGCGGCGGTACGTCTGTCTGTTCGGAGTCGGTCCGCTCGTCCGCCCAGCCCTTGTGTGCCCGTCAGGCCGACCAGTCACGTACCGCGTGCAGCTCCCAGGGCCGACTGAGCGCTCTCCGGCAGCGCGCGGCCGGGAATAAGGCTCCTGGAAAAGCAGTGGAAGCCCCGCCCCACCCGGCCCCGCCCCCTCCCCTCCCCCTCCCGCGCCGTGCCCGGCCCGGCCGCAGGCGCTGCCCCGGTCTCGGCAGTCGCGGCGGGAGGACCCGGAGGCGCTCACATTTTTGGGACCAGGCCAGAGCAGCCGTGGCCGGAGTGTGGGTGTAGGGCGAATGACCGGCAGGTGGCGAAGCCCGGATCCTACCTTTCCTCCAACGCCGGGAGCGCTGCAACCTAGTGAAAGCTGAGCTGAGAGCTGTTCCCGGCCTGCGTCCCTGCATCTTTTGACAACTCCCTGTTCCATACTAGATATCTGCATTCAGAAGCCTACCGACACAGCCAGCAGTAAATAATATTTCGTTTATCGTTTAAAAAATAGATATACGAATGCCAGTTGGTCTCCTGAGGGCAAAGTGACCAGATCTGAAGTTGCGGTCATTTGATGCCAATCCAGCTACAGCAAAGGAAGTTAGGAGTGGCTGCCACTGCTTTCCCCCAGGGGACAGAGTCTACTTTAGGATTTCTGAGCTATGCAACATAATTCCCAGGCTTTTGTGATCAGAAAGACACAGATTGTGGGACAAGCCTCATACTCTTGCTTAGATATTAAGACCACTCTCTCAGACATAAGCTCTACTCTCAAAGGACCCAACCGGCTAACCTGGATGAGTATGTACAACCCGTGCCAGATGGATGTTTCTCTTTCAACTGGTGTGTTTGCGGGGAAGGGGGTCGTCCGGAGTCCATGTCCTGACTCAAATAATGATTCCCTCAGTAAGTATTTCTGCTCCCGGGGACGTGCTGGGTAGGGAGTTTGACCCAGGGCTGGGTTGGCATTCAGAGCCCTCAAATTGTGCCAGACGGAGCACTTGCCTGATTCAGCCATGTGTAGGGATAAAAACAGGCCTGCTATTTATACACTGTCTATCCCATTCTTTATCCCCGCCCCACCCCCACCTTTGCAGGGGTCAATCTGGCTCGTCCCCTCTTAATTTTCCCATATACTCCCGGGTCTAGGCTTCCACAGTGCACAGCGGTGTCTACAGACTTAGATTGCTACTTATGTGTGACCTTGGATAAGATAATTGATTTTATATCGTAGGGAGGAAGCTATTTTGTTTTATTTTATGCGTACGGGTATTTGCCCACATACATGTCTGTGTACAACATACCTGCCTGGCGCCCACAGAGGTCAGAAGAGGACATCAGATCCCCTGGGACTGGAGTTACAGATGGCTGTGAGACCCTGTGTGGACATAGGTAATCAAACCTGGGTTCTCTGGAGGAGCATCCAGTGGTCTTAACTGCTGAGCCATGTCTCTAGCCCCTGATATTTGATCCTACTGAGCCCCGGTTTCTATATCTCCCGAATGGGAATGACGGTAGTCACACTAATGCGGGCAGCGTTGTAGAGAGCTTTCCGAGGGCCGAGGAGGAAGCACACAAGAGGCAGAAATGGTACAAGCTCGGGTAAACTGCTCTTGTCACCACGGGACACTTCACCTTGGTTACTCCTTTTCCCTCCCTTCCCTAGACACCCAGTCTGACCAGGTGTAGACAAATGGGTCTCAGACGGAAGCTTACTTCTCACCTATTTGGCAAAAAGCCACCGTGGTATTCCTCTGGGTGCTCGGTATCGAGTCCAGGACCTCGGCAGATGGCCACCACCCCAGCCACACCTTCCCCTCCTCCAGCAGGTGTCTGACTGCCTTCTAAAAACCAAAGCCTTCAAGGGGTCAGGGTTCTCCCCAGGGAAGGGTGGAGGGAAATGTTTCCTGACACATGACCAAGTCACTCCCCCTTCCCCCTCCCACCTCACACCCTGCTCTCCTGTCCTAGCCTGCTTCTTCCTTCCTTTGCTAGGTCCTTCCGCCTCACCCCCACGTCAGCTCAACCTCACCGGGGCAACTCCAGGCTTTCATCACACCCAGGAGCCTCACCCTATCCAGATCTGTGTGTCAGGTTTTACAAGGAAGGGCCTGGAGAACAGAAGACGAAAGAGCTCTGAAATGGACTTGGGATAGTCACTTCCCTTCCCAGAAGTGCAGACAGCCTGGTACCAGAAGACTGAGCAAAATAAAACAAACTACAGAATGGACATGCAACTCCGTGGTAGAGAATTTACCTAGCATGTGCAAAGCCCTGGGTTTGATCTTCAGCTCCTCAAAAGGGGCAAATAAGAAAAACCACCACCACGAACACCACCACCAACACCACCACCAACAACAACAACAAAAGCAAATCCCTGGGCACAGAGATACATACCTGTGACCCCAGCACCAGTAAGGTGGAGGGAAGAGGATCTGGAGTTAGTTCAAGGTCATCCTCAATTATAGGTTGAATTTTAGTCCAGTCTGGACTATATGAGGAACATCTCAATCATAATTCATCCCGGGGTGGCCTCATATGGCTTAGTCCATAAGCATTCACGGAACACCTTTCAGATGCTGGGGAGTGAATGAGCGCTAAGATGAGCGTTCAAATGCTTTGCCAGAAGATGGGTTATGGTGCCGTACTCACACCTTAGATCTGGTGATGGATTAGCAAAACCTTATCTGAAAAGGCAACAAGTAAACAGGCCTGTGTCTGTGACAGAGCACTCCAAGTAGCCAAGCCAAGAGTAGGCTACAGAAACAACCTTGACACATGCAGAGAGTAGCGGGAAGACCAGAGAAGCAGTGATAGGAAATCACAGTGGGACAAAGGCCAGGTCAGAGAGTGGAGGGCATGGGGGATGTCAGAGGAGACAGTGAGTCTTATTCCCTGTCATTGTGAGAATCCAATGAGATAGGAATGGAAAACCAGAGTTATGCAAGAATGTTCCACGTTCGTTTTTCCTCCTACCCAGGGCCCTCTTCCTGCTTTGGTTGTCAAGGACCAGGGACACAATCCTAAGCAGAGTTCCGATGGGCAAGCTTGCTTTCTTTAACTATCCACTGAGTGTGAGCAAACTGAGGCTTGGAGACTGACTAGCCTTTTACTACCAGTGAGTCAAAGGGGAACTAATCTAGAGCAAACCATGGCATCCTGTTTCCCAGCCCAGGCTGGGTTCCCAGGCAGCTAGAAAGGCAGGCTCCTTGGGACTCCAAGGGCTGCTGACTCACTGCTAAAGCAGTGAGTCCTTGATTTGAGACCTCTTGCATGCCAGTGTGGAGGAGCTGGGAGAAAAGCAGCTACACGAAACTGGAGTGGGGCAGGCATGAGGGGTGCTCTTGGAGAGAGGCGGGTGTGAGAGGTGCTCTTGGAGAGGGACCACTCATAATCCCTTCCCCTCTGTGGCTGGGATATATACTTTGTTTGTGGATTCCCCTCAACCTGACTGTGCATCACAATCACCAGGGAATATATTAAAGATGAAAAGGCCCAGCTGTAAGTGGTGGTACAGACCTTTAGTCCAAACACTTGGGAGGCAGAGGCAGGTGGGTGTGAGTTCAAGACTAGCCTGGTCCTGGTCTACAGAGAGAGTTCCAGAACAGCCAGGGCTACACAGAGAGACCATGTCTTGAAAGACAAAACAAAACAAAGAAGGCCTAGACTCAAGGTTGGGGATGTAGCTCCATGGATGAGCACATGGCAATACGTATAAGGTCCTGCACTATAAACAACAACCAACTAAACAAACAAAAGGTAAAGCCAGACATGGTGGTACATACCTATAATCTCAGCACTTGAGACCAAGACAGAAATATCAAGATTTCAAAACCTGTTGGAATTGAAACCTCTGAGGCAGGGGCAGAATGTGTATCTGAGTAGAGATACACACTCGTGTGCTCAATGCTTAGCTTGTTGTGTTGCCTTACTTGGTCCTCCCACATCAGATATGCTAGTGACGTCACCCCCCATCTTAAAGGATTAGAGCTCGAAGATGTGAGTAACAGCCCGGGGTCACCCAGCTACAATCACTTTGGCTGACCAACTTGCAACCCTCTTTGATTTGGGCTTCTAGCTTCAGTTTCACCATAGCTGAGCGAGCGGGTAGAAGACAGGGGCATCCCCCCTCTGCCTCTGCAGACAAGGGCATCATCAGCTTAACTGAGGGAGTCCTGGGGTGCAGTAACTGGGCCGAAAGGGGGTTTGAATGAGAGGAGAGGAGCAGTGAAATGGATACACACCTAGGAACCACGCAACTCTGAGTTCCACTTTGAAGTTTGGTGCTCGTTTTTGCTTTTTTTCCCCTCAGTTTGTTTTACTTTTTTTTGTTGTTCTATTTTATTCATTGGTCGTGAAATCCTTGCTGGAGTCATTTCTCACCTTCCCTCATGTGGGTCCCAGATATTAAACTCAGGCCCTTAGGCTTGACAGCGGCCCTCACCTGCTGAGCCACTTCCCCAGCCCCCTTGTTAAGCTTTCTAACCTGCAGCAAGTTATTCAGTGTCTTCTCATACAGTTTATACATCTAAAGCTGAGGGTGATGATAGTGATGGATATCACAGGGCTCTTGTGAAGGCTAGATCAGATCACATGTATAAAACAGAGCATGATGTCTGACGTACACTAGGTGGTAGGTGGCTGATGACAGTGGTTACTATGAACGAATTCACCCGCCCCTTCTCTCTCCTTTTTTTCTTCCTAAATGGGGATCTGATACATATCCATGCACGCAACACTTCCTGTGCCCTGCTTCAAGACTTAGATTCCTCACTTGAAAAAATGAGGTGTTGTTAGGCTATGATGGTGCTTGCCTTTAATCCCAGCACTTGGGAGGGGCAGAGGCAGGCAGATCTCTGAGTTACAGAGTGAGTTCCAAGACAATCAGGACGGTTACACAGAGAAACCTTACCCCAAAAATATAAAAAGAAAAAAAAGAAAGAAAAAAGAAAAGAAAGAAAAAGATGAAGGTTTAAATAATTGTGCTATGTCTAGGGCCAGGGAAATCCATCATGCTTTTTTATTTTTATATTTTTTCTTGTCGTGCTGCTATCAGAAGGCTTGCTGAGACAGTTCTCTGACAATCTAGAGTAGCTAATCTAAAACACTGCTCTGCCCTGGACCAGCCTTCCTTGGAGATGATGTGCTAGAGATGGCCATGTGTTGTAATGAGGTAGAAAATTACAAATTTGGAACCTCATCCCAAGAAGAGCAGTTCTGACTCAGAGTTCACACAGAAGCTTGTGGGCAGAGGATTTGATTGTGTCCTAAGCAACCTTAGAGCTCTTTTGGGTTGGGGAGAGTGATTAAAGAGCCCTTCTACTAGGGATGCTTTAGCAACAGGTAGCCATGAGGCTGGAGTCACCCAAACTCAGACGGCCAGGATGAACGATCACGATTCCCTGTCTCTGCCAGGCTTCTCTCAGCCTGAGTCAGCTCATCATGCAATGTTAGAATGTTGAATTCTGGCCTTTCTTTGGGGTCCCCTGCATCCTTTTATGCTGGCCTGAGGCATTTGGTAGTGAATACTCCATCCTGGGAATGGCCATGCTCTGATTCCTGAGGGGGGTCAGGATTTGAATAATATAAAGAATAGGGATGGAGTGGTAGGATGAAGCTTTGGTAGAAACATCTAGAAATCCATAACACTCAGCCAGGAAAGGACATTTATAATATTCCCTATTCTCTCCCATTCATTTCTATTTCCAACTGCATTTCTGTGACTTTATCCTTCAGCCATTCCGTAACACAGACGACTTTATGCTGGCAGGAAGGGTGCAAAGGATTTCCCCTTCCTCAAACAGTCTAGCTCCTTCGTCAAGCCTTAGATTCTTCATATTAAAAAAAGAGAGAGAGGGGTTCAAGCAATCATGCCATGTGCAGGCATTGGCCATGGAGATCCATCTTGCATTATTTTGTCACGGTGCTTTCAAAGGCTTGCCGGGACAATCCCCAGATTATGTAGTGACTGATCTACAGGCGTTATAGCTTTCGTCTGTGACTAATCTCTTTGCTGGTAAGTTAAGGCCAGGCAGTGGTGCTGCATGCCTTTAATCAGGAGGCGGAGGCAGCGGATCTCTGTGTTTGAGGCCAGTGTGGTCTACAGAGTGAGTTCCAGGACAGGCAGGAGCTACGTAGAGAAATCCTGTCTCAAAAACCAAAAATCAAAAACAAACAAACAAATAGACAAAAGCATCACTTATGGTGCTCTTGAGAGGACTGAAGTAGATAGTCTCGGAAGTGCTTAGGAAAATGCAGGGCTCTGTGTGAATAAGTTAAGCACTGTCGTTAATTTTTCCAGTGCTTAACCTTGGAATGCAGTCACACCATACTCCCTACTGGAAACATGCATGTTCAGTTCCTCATTGGTATGCAGTTACAGGGCAGCAATTTAACAGTTTAACAGCCATCTACAGTAGACAATGGTTTAGGAAGGAAAAGATACTGCCCCCTAAAGGACACTCTAGGAATTTGTGGAGAGTTTTTTGTTATCAGGTCATTTTTAAGACATCTGAGCAAAAAAGGGGCCAGCGATACATAGCTAAGGATTGTGCCCAGCCAGGTGGTGATACACAGCTGTCCTGTAATTCCAGCACCAGGAAGGCGAAGACAGACAGAGCTCTGTTGAGTTTAAAGCCAGCCTCGTCCACGCAGTGAATTCCAGGCCACGCAAGAGTACATAGTGAAACCTGTCTAAATAAACAAACAAAAAACAAAAAGCGAGAGGCCTCGGCCCTAACTGGGACATCTAGAGCATATTCCTCCCTCAAGGCTCGGGGACCTGCACAGAAAAGGAGGCAAAAGTATCTGTAAGAGCCAGAGCTGGTAATGACTTCAAGGCAGCCATGT